TAAACATTGGGCTTTCATACAGTAAAATAAAATACTGCGACTTTTTGTGACTTTGCTGATAAAATGAGAAAAACATTCTTGGTTTCCTCTAATTTGCAAATCAGTGATATACTAATGCGAGGTGTAAACCGCGATGGCATTGTTGTGTACAAAGCGATCGCATTAGTGCCATTAGCAGTATAGCACAATTTGGCATTAGTAGCGGCTTTAGTGGTATGGGCATTTGTCGCGGATCAGTCGTAGCATTAGTAGTATTAGTTGCGATATTACTACTGGCATTAGTGGCATTGGCCGTGGAAACACTGGAACAGTGATTTTTCTTTCTTTTTTTTAGAATCGACGAATTATCCTTTATTTTATTCATATTATTTCCTCTTTAATTGAAAATAGCAACAATTTACATAAGGTCTACATAAAAAAATTTCGATCAACTATTGGTGTCAAATACCCCACTGTGTGGCGATTCAGGAGGTTCTCTGCTGTAAAAAATGTCAACTTGTCATATTTATTTATTTATTTCCTGACATTGTCATTCGTTTTGCCACTTTAGTTTTGTATTACGAGTTTTTGGGTTAAATGAATTGTGTTGTGATGCTTTAAGCTTAAAAATTTTTACTAGCAGGCCTTGCAGACGAACATGCATTTTTTTAGAACAACTTTTAGTGTGAAGTGTACAAAACAGCTTAATAGCCGCTTCAAAAAACTAGTCGCAAGCTTATTAGAATATTTTGAACGGGAAAGCGGTCCTTTATGTCCCTTAAATGCGGTTAAGGAAGTGAGTTTTGTTGATGTAAATAATAACTGTTTATATATTTATAATTAATTCATTATTGTTTCCTAAATTATTTGATAAAAAGAAAATATGTAAAAGTCGGCAACGCTGTGCCGGTCGAGCTTAATCATGTGACTAAATGTTTATTTAGTATGATCTATAATGTATATGTATTGTGTTTGAAATTGAAGTGAAAAATTGGTGACAAAATTACGAATGTTATTAGACACTTGACAAAAGTCAAAGTATGAAAAGAAGCTGTGGCAACATTGTGACGTGTACTCGTCAAATATTTTGATGACGTGCAAGTAAACTTTTATTGATTTTACTATATTAATAATTACTTTGAATTTATTTAAAGGATGGACATCGATTTTTCCAGCTCCTATGTCACGAAGATCGCGTTCTGCGTCGTATTTCAGGTCGTTTGACACTGAAACCCAGATCGCTCTTTTGCGACCCTTTAGGTAGTTTTCGAAGATCACACCGGCAATGGTTCTGCCTTTACCCACTCCAGCACCATCACCTAAGAAATAAAAATATATTTTAGTAATTTCCTTATCAAAAAAAAAATAATAAAGACTATATTTTTTATGATTTTAGTTACAACCGTAATTTTCAGATTTTTTCCTATGGCTATTTTGGAATGTCTGAAGCTAATACTACCCAACATACAAAACTTGAAGGAAGCAGGCCCTGAAGCTTCATCAACTACTATTGCATTACAGTTAAATCTGAATTAAGTTTAATTATAATACAGCCGGTAACTGCAATGCTTACATAAAATATATTACATAAAATAGTTTAAATAAAGCTTCGTTCCAAACTTCAAAATTAGTGGAATAAATTAGTGACTTCAATTATACTCTATATTTGATTTTACAATCATTCACAACGTCTAAAAAATACAATTAAATTTAATAAAATACTCTAGCAATAATATTAATACTAAGGGCTGGCAAAAGTTAGTTTTGGGTCGAGATTTCCATATGTAAGAAGAGTACAATGCGTTTATAATGTACTGAACAAAGACAGAACAGTAAAAACGTTGCCAAACCTATGAAATAAACCGAGAATCTGTGCACATTGCTAAGACACGTGGAAGGGGATACAGCAGACTCGTCGCGATCGCGGTAAAATTCTAAAGAGTGAACATCATGCGTTCAGCTTTACGGTTTAATTACATCTCATGATACTGTATCCTTTAATTATTAACGAGTTGTAGTTTTCCCTATAGCTTGTAAATTAAGTTAAAAAGAATATAGTAAATTAGAGGAACAAACCATAACTTAAACCACTAATTTCAAGGTTCTGAACAAAGCTTTAGAAATTATAAATATGTACCTATTAGAAATCCTGCTCTGCTGCCATCAGGCAATATATGTTCATGCGCTTGGGAAGTATATGTTATACTTTCGAGCTGTAAGGCGGATAGTGCCCCAGTTCTAATAGTTTCTTCTGGTATGGATAACTTGTACCATACGTCTACGGGTGCGACAGATGACAGAGAAGCCGTCTCAACAACTGGATCAGGATGTTTTTTGCCTGAAAAAAATCAATCTTGTAGTTAAAATAAAACACAACTAGTGTTTTAAAGGTTTGGTTGTATAGGAACATCAAGGTGGGTCAAAAATATCGACTATTTTTTTTCATTTTATACTCATGAAACTTCTACACCCTGTATCTCCGAAATTAAGCATTTTAGAACATACATTTATACAAACTTTTTTATTTATTTTTATCTGCAGAATATGCTGCCGAAGTTTTCGGAATACAGTTCGGACCACCCTGTATATTATAAACGATAATCAGAATTTAAAATAAAAATTACTTTTTATGATTGATGATAAAAAAACAACACACCACTTGCAGATCAAAAAGACAGAAATGCCACATGAAACTGAACAGAGTTGCCATATTTTACCAATCTCTTTTTAATTGATGTAAGAGTAATAAAGTATGTTATGACTGTAACGAAATGGTGTTTTAAGAATGGAGTGTAGTGTCTTTTCTTTTAGTTAGATGTCTCTGGACAATATAATGAAATATAATTACATACCTAATTTTAATTTTGAAGGCATATAATCCGCGTAAGTTTCTGCAACGCCCAGTTCTTCGTCGTCAACTTCTTCTTCTTCTTGGTGATGATGCATAGGTTTATTATCCATCTGATTCATCCACATCTGCTGTACAGCCTTTAAATAATTGTATTAGTACAATAAAAAATTAAAAGAAATAAAAAAAAAATAAAAATAAATAAAACAAAAAAAAATAAAAAATAAAAATAAAAAAGAATAAAAATACAAAACAAAAAAATTACTTTGTTGCTAAGCGGGCCACCCCAGGGTGGAACAGGTCCGGCACTGTATAACATGGCAGATAAATTCTGGAGAAAAGGATTTCCATATGGGTTTCCAGCCATTCCAAATGCTGCCATTTCCACTAAAAAATTAGTCAATATAAATTATTTTGTCAAAAATCAAGTATTTAGCTTAAGGAAGAACTTAAAATAATAAAAATCATGCTCTGACAAACCTACAAAAATAAATTATATAATTTCATCTGCCTGTGCGTATTAAAAACATGCGATATGATTAACTAAAATTATTATTTAACTAATATTGTAACTAATTAGAATTTAATATTCTACTTTATTGTATAGGTAAATAAAAATAATAACTAACAAATAGGTGTTTATTTATACAGTAATAATGCATTGCAGATTGAATTAAGATAAATATTAAATAATGATAAAACTTCTCGTAATTAAAATTTTATTAAATCAGTATTAAATCAGCTAAAATAGTATATGAAATGAAAAAAATATACAAGCCCTGGCCACTTGATTTCCGTGATATGTACTTTAATGAATACGACAGAGATAAATATATCCGACCAGTTGACAGGCAGAGATAAAATAAAAAGCGGCATACAGTGTTGCCGGTTCATACGAGAAATAAGAAATCATAATCGAAGATAATATATCCAAGCTATTCAATAATGCTCATTTCTGTTCGACAGTTGTTTAAAAATCTATTAGAGCTGTAGTAAAATGAGTAACTAATTGTGAAAAATAAAGTTCCAACCCTATATGCAATATTTTTCATAAACGCCTACTTGTGCGGTTTGAAATTTTGATGCAAAATCCGGCAATACCGCACAGAAGAAATGTATCGACCTAACTTTTATTTGTTTTTAATACATTTGATTTTACATTTACGCTGTCTACATTACTGTCTTACACGTTAAAATCCAAACCAAGCAGTTTCAATGACCAGATCGGTATAATCATGAAAAAAAATACATAAAATTAATACACAATTTAACTAAAACTGCAATGCTTTAATACCTAAATGGCCCACCTTAATCTTAATCGTTATCTCTTCCATAATAATTATTGTAAATAAAAAAAAGTGAAACAAAGATATACAGGATGTTTCAAAAGAAATGCGAAAAACTTTTTTAAGTGGCGATTCCTTGGAAAAAATAAAGGGTAGTTATAATCGTTCGATCAACGCAGTGGTGCTTACAAAAAAAAAAAAAAAAAAAAAATATCAATTTTTCATCTAAATATCGATGATAGTTCAAAAATTATTTTGAAAAAAAAAATCGAAATAAAAATAAACTCTTTTACTTATTCGAATTACCCTGTATAACAAACTATCCTTTATTCTTAACAAAGAATCGCCCATTAAATATTTACGCTTTTTTAAAACGCCCTGTATACTGTCTGTTGCATCGCCGACCTGAACATAGAAAATCCCATGTAAATTTTAAAAGTGTGATAAGTTGACCAGATAAAAAATATTTGAAACTTTTAAAAGAACTTCTTAAAATGAAGCAAGTTGTTCGTTTTCAATAGCTTCTACAGTTGATTGAACAAGTATGAAGATGCGCAATCTTCGTGGCATAAAACCTGTCCGAGATGTAGCTGGCGCTAACATCAGCGTGTCCGAGATTTAGTTTAGCTCTGCGCCGCTGCGCGCTGATAGTCGTTCACAGCGCAGCGTATAAAGAATATGTACTGTAGTTCTGCTTTCAGTCGACAGAGCGAGTGGTTGTCGGAGACAGTGTTGCCAGAACTACGAATCAATCCGTAGTTTTACGGATTTTGTGTACAGTACGTTAGTAATACGGATTTCCTATCATTAAAGAATTTAATATATTATATGATTGAACAAAGAACGGCGTCAGAGTTAGCTTGGAAATGAAGAACGCTGTTATTTCGCATGTAAAATATTATAGTAAATGTCAATAATAGTCATTTCCAAGCCAATTAAACGACTTTTTTCGACCATCTGAAAAATTCAGTATTTCTTGTATTTTTGTAAGAGTAAAGTTTCAACACATAAACGCGGATTTTTCTTCCATAGATATTTCAAATATATTCAATGTATTACAGATATAATACATAGGGTCAAATGTATTACAGATATTACACATTTTAATATGGCAACACTGTCGCTTTCAGTTCCACACCGTGTTCGATATGCCTTCGCTGGCCGAATTAGAGAAAATAAGTGTTTTATGCGTTGGCCACAGAACGAGTGGTGGCTCCACCGTTTTTACAAATCTCTGTACAAATTTCTTTTTTTTTACAAATCTCTGTAGAAGAAAATCATAATAGATTTATCATATTGTGACATAGCTTGTGATTGTTATCTTTGTGTGACAAGGATTATTTTAAATTTTCGCGTAATTTAGTATTTTTGTTTATCTCAAACCTAAATCAAAAACGAATTAGTATAATTATTCAAAAGAACAATTTACTTCATTTTAAGTTCTTTAAAAAGTTTCAAAAATTTTTTTGTAAAATAAAATTGAGAAAAATTTACATGGCATACCTACGTTCAGATCGACAATACAACACACGGTAATACCCAAAAAATACTGAAGCAACTAAACTACGTGTTAAAAAGTGCAACTGTGAGGCAACAAGCCACGCCCTCTCTAAAGATGCACTACGATGCGCAACGTATCATCACTCCAGTGCTTAAGGAAAATAAAGAGATAAATTCCATATAGAGTCTGCACTTACTCTGCTGCAGAAATTGTGCAGCATTAAAAGCGGCCGCTGAGGCAGACTGGGATGAGCCCCCGGCAGTACCTTGGGCAGGCGCCCCAAACATGTTGGCCATGGGACCGCCAGTGAGACTACTCAACATCGAGGCCATAGCGGCCAAGTTACTCATATTCGAGGTGTTTCCCGGGCCGCCGTAAGGGGGTCCCACTATACAGATCAATCAAATAATGTCATACACCTCTCATCCAAAAATACCCTTAAGGAACTAGTATATTGCACAAACCATAACTTAACATAAACTAACATGTATAGAGCAACCAACAATGATTGAAATGAAACTAAGAGAATTTCGGATTTTCATTGTCTTTATTTAGTTACCTTAATGAATAATAATAGGAAATATATGTTGTATTTAAGAAATCTGTCTAAGGCTTAGATCGATCCTGTCGTGTTAAGCCATATTAAAAAATCAAACACGCGTGCTTTGATTAAGGCTTGATTAAGGTTTGCAGAGCTTCAGGATTTGCCATAAAATAGCGAGCAATTTGTTACAAAACCATATAAATTATATATCACTGTAATCACAAAACTTCAATCTATTTCCGTATTGTAACGGAATTTTAAATTATGTCTTTATTTTCGAGAAAATTTAGTCCAAACATAAGGAATATTTTGTTGATGTTTAACCATCAAAATCTTAAAAATAAAGAAGTTGTCTAAAAATGTGCTACAATACGGATATAGCATAATCCTTTATCTTTAATTTCCTTCTTTATTTTTGTAAAAATACCTAGCCAGTTTTACATAAAACGTTAAATGCCGAACGCTTATTTTGTTACTTTTTCGGACTAGTGAAATTGGCCCTTAAGCCTCGTTCAGAATTGATTCTGAACGTTCTGATCCTCGTTCCTTTTTATTTCAGTTAAAATATGGGTAGTGTTCTTATGAAAGCCGATGGTTCCTTATAAGGCCAATCAAAAATTTAGCGGTTGGCCTTGCTAGGGTACATGGGCCTTACTAGGAACATTTTCAAATCATTAAAATATGAACACTTAGTTTTTAGTTATAAATATGTACCGGGAAAATTAAAACAATATTTTATGTTTATAATATTATTATTTATAAGGGTTATTCAACTTTTTAGCTAAAAATCATTTTGGCCTTACAAAGAACAAATCCATAAGAAGACCATTATAGGTAATTTATTCTTTTTGTAATTTCATTCTAAAACGCATTGGCAACTTATTTGTTATCAATATAATACTCATTACAATAATTTTTAAATAATTTCCATTAATATTTTTAGTTATACAATGGTTTTCAAGGAATCTTCGTTGAGTTCTTTAAAGAAGATTATAACATGTTAAGCATTTAATTTTTCGTTTAAATGAAAGAGCTTTTCATGCAGTTTTACTAACAGCAGATATTTTGATTATTACAACACTAGTTTTAAGTTAAAGAACTCATTTATAATATTGGCCTTGTATGGGGCCCTGTTCCTTCCAAGGCCATTTGGAGGAGCTTAATAAAAATTAAGTTAAAAAAAAGTAAAAGTAATGTATAGGTTACACAATAAAACAAAGTATTTATTAATAATTTGTTTCTGTCATTTATGCAGTAAATGAACTAATAAAAACTTTTTATTCGTTAGAGTGGCCTTCCAGGGCTCACCCAACTACCATATTGCTTATATTATATGTATGTACGCTACCGATTTCAATCATTGTTGATCTATCCGTATTACTAACTAAAATAATGTAAAATTACTTCACGAGCTTTTGTAAATAGAAAAAGTGAGTAATACATTGTTCTAAGTCGTTTCAAACATAAAAAGATTAACATTAAAGATTTTGTAGTACTCAAAATAATTAAAAACTCTATAAATGCAGAAAAATCAGTATAAGAGTGATGGGTAATATACCGTACAATCGAAAAAAGGCGTCTGGTTAGCTTGGAAATGACGATATAGATAATTTTACATATAAAATGACAGCGATCTTCATTTCATAGCCATCCCCAACTTCTTTTTTTTTCGATCATATTGTATTAGCAAAAATGTAAAAATATATTTAAGTACATTTCAAAACTCAGTTATAAACAATGTAAATTCACCAATTACAAGTTACTCTTGGCTTTGAGCTTTGAATGCAGACAGTTAAAAAAAATATAGCGTAATTTCATACAAGAATTCTGTCATCATTCAAAACCTGCTTGACCAAAAAATATCCCGCTGTATTAAAAAATATGAAACATTAAATACATTTACCTTTATACCAAAAAAAAAATCCAACCAAACACATAACATAATTTTCACTTATAATATCACAAGAGCTTAAATTATTTTCGGAAATTTTTTTGAGGGCACGAATATTTTGAAAATTATCCCGAGTCGAAGACGAGGGATAATTTTCCTAAAATATTCGTGCCCGAAAGAAAATTTCCAGGAATAATTTAAGCTTGCGTGGTATTCGGTAAGAAAATTT